ACGGCTGTGGTGAGGGCAGCTGTGGTGAGGGCGGCTGTGGTGAGGGCGGCTGTGGTGAGGCTGTGGTCAGGGCGGCTGTGGTGAGGGCAGCTGTGGTGAGGGCAGCTGTGGTGAGGGCGGCTGTGGTGAGGCTGTGGTGAGGGCAGCTGTGGTGAGGGCAGCTGTGGTGAGGGCAGCTGTGGTGAGGCTGTGGTCAGGGCGGCTGTGGTGAGGCTGTGGTGAGGGCAGCTGTGGTGAGGACGGCTGTGTGGTGAGGGCAGCTGTGGTGAGGGCGGCTGTGGTGAGGCTGTGGTGAGGGCGGCTGTGGTGAGGGCAGCTGTGGTGAGGCTGTGGTGAGGGCAGCTGTGGTGAGGCTGTGGTCAGGGCGGCTGTGGTGAGGGCAGCTGTGGTGAGGGCAGCTGTGGTGAGGCTGTGGTGAGGGCAGCTGTGGTGAGGCTGTGGTGAGGGCGGCTGTGGTGAGGCTGTGGTGAGGGCAGCTGTGGTGAGGGCAGCTGTGGTCAGGGCAGCTGTGGTGAGGCTGTGGTGAGGGCAGCTGTGGTGAGGACGGCTGTGGTGAGGGCAGCTGTGGTGAGGGCGGCTGTGGTGAGGGCGGCTGTGGTGAGGCTGTGGTCAGGGCGGCTGTGGTGAGGGCAGCTGTGGTGAGGGCAGCTGTGGTGAGGGCGGCTGTGGTGAGGCTGTGGTGAGGGCAGCTGTGGTGAGGGCAGCTGTGGTGAGGGCAGCTGTGGTGAGGGCAGCTGTGGTGAGGCTGTGGTCAGGGCGGCTGTGGTGAGGCTGTGGTGAGGGCAGCTGTGGTGAGGACGGCTGTGGTGAGGGCAGCTGTGGTGAGGGCGGCTGTGGTGAGGCTGTGGTCAGGGCGGCTGTGGTGAGGGCAGCTGTGGTGAGGGCGGCTGTGGTGAGGGCGGCTGTGGTGAGGCTGTGGTCAGGGCGGCTGTGGTGAGGGCAGCTGTGGTGAGGGCAGCTGTGGTGAGGGCGGCTGTGGTGAGGCTGTGGTGAGGGCAGCTGTGGTGAGGGCAGCTGTGGTGAGGGCAGCTGTGGTGAGGGCAGCTGTGGTGAGGCTGTGGTGAGGGCGGCTGTGGTGAGGCTGTGGTCAGGGCGGCTGTGGTGAGGGCAGCTGTGGTCAGGGCAGCTGTGGTGAGGGCAGCTGTGGTGAGGCTGTGGTCAGGGCGGCTGTGGTGAGGGGGCAGCTGTGGTGAGGGCGGCTGTGGTGAGGGCAGCTGTGGTGAGGCTGTGGTGAGGGCAGCTGTGGTGAGGCTGTGGTCAGGGCGGCTGTGGTGAGGGCAGCTGTGGTGAGGGCAGCTGTGGTGAGGCTGTGGTGAGGGCAGCTGTGGTGAGGCTGTGGTGAGGGCGGCTGTGGTGAGGCTGTGGTGAGGGCAGCTGTGGTGAGGGCAGCTGTGGTCAGGGCAGCTGTGGTGAGGCTGTGGTGAGGGCAGCTGTGGTGAGGACGGCTGTGGTGAGGGCAGCTGTGGTGAGGGCGGCTGTGGTGAGGGCGGCTGTGGTGAGGCTGTGGTCAGGGCGGCTGTGGTGAGGGCAGCTGTGGTGAGGGCAGCTGTGGTGAGGGCGGCTGTGGTGAGGCTGTGGTGAGGGCAGCTGTGGTGAGGGCAGCTGTGGTGAGGGCAGCTGTGGTGAGGCTGTGGTCAGGGCAGCTGTGGTGAGGCTGTGGTGAGGGCAGCTGTGGTGAGGGCAGCTGTGGTGAGGGCGGCTGTGGTGAGGCTGTGGTGAGGGCAGCTGTGGTGAGGGCAGCTGTGGTCAGGGCAGCTGTGGTGAGGCTGTGGTGAGGGCAGCTGTGGTGAGGACGGCTGTGGTGAGGGCAGCTGTGGTGAGGGCGGCTGTGGTGAGGGCGGCTGTGGTGAGGCTGTGGTGAGGGCGGCTGTGGTGAGGGCAGCTGTGGTGAGGCTGTGGTGAGGGCGGCTGTGGTGAGGGCGGCTGTGGTGCGGCTGTGGTGAGGGCGGCTGTGGTGAGGGCGGCTGTGGTGAGGTCGGCTGTGGTGAGGGCGGCTGTGGTGAGGCTGTGGTGAGGACGGCTGTGGTGAGGGCGGCTGTGGTGAGGGCAGCTGTGGTGAGGCTGTGGTGAGGGCAGCTGTGGTGAGGCTGTGGTGAGGGCGGCTGTGGTGAGGGCAGCTGTGGTGAGGCTGTGGTGAGGGCGGCTGTGGTGAGGCTGTGGTGAGGGCGGCTGTGGTGAGGGCAGCTGTGGTGAGGCTGTGGTGAGGGCAGCTGTGGTGAGGCTGTGGTGAGGGCGGCTGTGGTGAGGGCAGCTGTGGTGAGGCTGTGGTGAGGGCAGCTGTGGTGAGGGCAGCTGTGGTGAGGCTGTGGTGAGGGCAGCTGTGGTGAGGCTGTGGTGAGGGCAGCTGTGGTGAGGCTGTGGTCAGGGCGGCTGTGGTGAGGGGGCAGCTGTGGTGAGGGCGGCTGTGGTGAGGGCAGCTGTGGTGAGGCTGTGGTGAGGGCAGCTGTGGTGAGGCTGTGGTCAGGGCGGCTGTGGTGAGGGCAGCTGTGGTGAGGGCAGCTGTGGTGAGGCTGTGATGAGAGCAGCTGTGGTGAGGCTGTGGTGAGGGCGGCTGTGGTGAGGCTGTGGTGAGGGCAGCTGTGGTGAGGGCAGCTGTGGTCAGGGCAGCTGTGGTGAGGCTGTGGTGAGGGCAGCTGTGGTGAGGACGGCTGTGGTGAGGGCAGCTGTGGTGAGGGCGGCTGTGGTGAGGGCGGCTGTGGTGAGGCTGTGGTCAGGGCGGCTGTGGTGAGGGCAGCTGTGGTGAGGGCAGCTGTGGTGAGGGCGGCTGTGGTGAGGCTGTGGTGAGGGCAGCTGTGGTGAGGGCAGCTGTGGTGAGGGCAGCTGTGGTGAGGGCAGCTGTGGTGAGGCTGTGGTCAGGGCGGCTGTGGTGAGGGCAGCTGTGGTGAGGGCGGCTGTGGTGAGGCTGTGGTGAGAGCAGCTGTGGTGAGGGCAGCTGTGGTCAGGGCAGCTGTGGTGAGGGCAGCTGTGGTGAGGATGGCTGTGGTGAGGGCAGCTGTGGTGAGGGCGGCTGTGGTGAGGGCGGCTGTGGTGAGGCTGTGGTGAGGGCGGCTGTGGTGAGGGCAGCTGTGGTGAGGCTGTGGTGAGGGCGGCTGTGGTGAGGGCAGCTGTGGTGAGGCTGTGGTGAGGGCGGCTGTGGTGAGGGCAGCTGTGGTGAGGCTGTGGTGAGGGCAGCTGTGGTGAGGCTGTGGTGAGGGCGGCTGTGGTGAGGGCAGCTGTGGTGAGGCTGTGGTGAGGGCGGCTGTGGTGAGGGCAGCTGTGGTGAGGCTGTGGTGAGGGCGGCTGTGGTGAGGCTGTGGTGAGGGCGGCTGTGGTGAGGGCAGCTGTGGTGAGGCTGTGGTGAGGGCAGCTGTGGTGAGGCTGTGGTGAGGGCGGCTGTGGTGAGGGCAGCTGTGGTGAGGCTGTGTGGTGAGGGCGGCTGTGGTGAGGGCAGCTGTGGTGAGGCTGTGGTGAGGGCGGCTGTGGTGAGGCTGTGGTGAGGGCGGCTGTGGTGGGCTGTGGTGAGGGTAGCTGTGGTGAGGCTGTGGTGAAGGGGGCTGTGGTGAGGGCGGCTGTGGTCAGGGCGGCTGTGGTGAAGGGGGCTGTGGTGAGGACGGCTGTGGTGAGGGCGGCTGTGGTGAGGGCAGCTGTGGTCAGGGCGGCTGTGGTGAGGGCAGCTGTGGTGAGGCTGTGGTGAAGGGGGCTGTGGTGAGGGCGGCTGTGGTGAGGGCAGCTGTGGTCAGGGCGGCTGTGGTGAGGGCAGCTGTGGCTACAACAGCAGCTTACCATCAGTCCTGTGGGGTCCAATGGTCTGAGTTTAGAAGCACGGCTAACCACCATCTGCCTCAGTATGTTGTGTTCATAGAGTGTTTATAGATGGACAATGGTAAAGCCAACAGGGAAGTGCTCATGGACAAAGCTCCAGTTGACTGACGTACATTGAAAAGTCACTCACAATCTGTGGTTTAGCGCCCTCTAGGATCCTGGCGTTTATATTTTATTATTGTCATGACCACACAAGGGTTTAAAGGAGTAAAAGTAACACGTTAAGTAAAGTAAAGTACTGATACCGATACTTGTTCATTGGTCCAACTCCACGACACACTCTGATGAAGTAAACAACAATAACTATATTTATAACTCAAAAAGCCACATCAGTACTTCCTCATTGGTCCTGATTGGCTGGTCCTGATTGGCTGGTCCTGATTGGCTGGTCCTGATTGGCTGGTTCTGATTGGCTGGTCCTGATTGGCTGGTCCTGATTAGCTGGTTCTGATTGGCTGGTTCTGATTGGCTGGTTCTGATTGGCTGGTCCTGATTGGCTGGTCCTGATTAGCTGGTTCTGATTGGCTGTCCTCTGGCTGGTTCTGATTGGCTGTCCTCTGGCTGCAGGACGCTCTCTCCTGCGGCTGAAGCAGCACCACCTGCAGCTCCTGGGAGTGGAGGAGGAGGAGCAACAACAGGCCTTTCTGCAGCACCTCCTCCTGCTGCGAGTCCAGGAGGAGCTCAGGGAGCTCAGCCAGATGTACTGCGGTGAGACACAGCTGCGGTGAGACACAGCTGCGGTGAGACACAGCTGCGGTGAGACACAGCTGCATGTGTCACAGCTGCATGTAACACAGCTGCATGTAACACAGCTGCATGTAACACAGCTGCATGTAACACACCACAGCTGCATGTAACACACCACAGCTGCATGTAACACAGCTGCATGTAACACACCACAGCTGCATGTAACACAGCTGCATGTGACACACCACAGCTGCATGTAACACACCACAGCTGCATGTAACACAGCTGCATGTACACCACAGCTGCATGTGACACAGCTGCATGTACACCACAGCTGCATGTGACACACCACAGCTGCATGTAACACACCACAGCTGCATGTAACACAGCTGCATGTACACCACAGCTGCATGTGACACAGCTGCATGTACACCACAGCTGCATGTAACACAGCTGCATGTAACACACCACAGCTGCATGTAACACAGCTGCATGTACACCACAGCTGCATGTGACACAGCTGCATGTACACCACAGCTGCATGTAACACAGCTGCATGTACACCACAGCTGCATGTGACACAGCTGCATGTACACCACAGCTGCATGTGACACAGCTGCATGTAACACACCACAGCTGCATGTAACACAGCTGCATGTAACACACCACAGCTGCATGTAACACAGCTGCATGTAACACAGCTGCATGTAACACACCACAGCTGCATGTGACACACCACAGCTGCATGTGACACACCACAGCTGCATGTAACACACCACAGCTGCATGTGACACACCACAGCTGCATGTGACACATCACAGCTGCATGTGACACACCACAGCTGCATGTAACAAAGCTGCATGTAACACAGCTGCATGTAACACACCACAGCTGCATGTGACACACCACAGCTGCATGTAACACACCACAGCTGCATGTGACACACCACAGCTGCATGTAACACACCACAGCTGCATGTGACACACCACAGCTGCATGTGACACATCACAGCTGCATGTGACACACCACAGCTGCATGTAACACACCACAGCTGCATGTGACACATCACAGCTGCATGTGACACACCACAGCTGCATGTAACACACCACAGCTGCATGTAACACACCACAGCTGCATGTGACACATCACAGCTGCATGTGACACACCACAGCTGCATGTGACACACCACAGCTGCATGTGACACACCACAGCTGCATGTGACACACCACAGCTGCATGTGACAAAGCTGCATGTAACACAGCTGCATGTAACACACCACAGCTGCATGTAACACAGCTGCATGTAACACACCACAGCTGCATGTAACAAAGCTGCATGTAACACAGCTGCATGTAACACATCACAGCTGCATGTGACACACCACAGCTGCATGTGACACACCACAGCTGCATGTAACACAGCTGCATGTACACCACAGCTGCATGTGACACACCACAGCTGCATGTGACACAGCTGCATGTACACCACAGCTGCATGTGACACAGCTGCATGTACACCACAGCTGCATGTGACACAGCTGCATGTAACACAGCTGCATGTGACACAGCTGCATGTAACACAGCTGCATGTACACCACAGCTGCATGTGACACACCACAGCTGCATGTAACACAGCACAGCTGCATGTACACCACAGCTGCATGTAACACACCACAGCTGCATGTAACACACCACAGCTGCATGTGACACAGCTGCATGTGACACAGCTGCATGTGACACAGCTGCATGTGACACAGCTGCATGTGACACAGCTGCATGTAACACAGCTGCATGTGACACACCACAGCTGCATGTGACACAGCTGCATGTAACACAGCTGCACGTGACACACCACAGCCGCCGTGAGACGGCAGGTGTGATGACATCATCCACAGCTGAGGCAGTGAGTGTTGCTGTGTAATAACCAGCCACAACAGCGCCACCTGCTGGTACAGTGCTAGAACAACCACATTACACAAATCTCCAGAGACAGGAGTGTGTCAAAAGTTTTTGTTTATATACACACAGGGATCCAGTTACACACAGATCTGGTTACAAACGCACAAATCTTGTTACGGACACACAAATCTTATTGAAACTATAATAGCTCCATAATTTTAAAAGTATCTTTTTTGGCATTTAGGCAAATATTCAGCCATAATCTTTTCTCCATGGAGTGTTTAAAATGTCATTCAGGAAATGATTTATCAATTTAATGAATTCTTAGGACTGCTGTAATCGTCTTTTTCAGACCCAGACACTTCGAGACTGCGGAGGCCAAGTGGGTTTGAGGTTTTAGTCCTGAATACTCACATATTTATATAAATCTGCAAACACAATATGAGCCTCAAATGTGTGTTTACTCAAAGGTTATGGATTTACTCCAAAGGGCCAGGACTCGTAGTTCTGAGGGCCTCATTTGGCCCGTGGGCCCCAGTTTGAGCCTGTCTGTCCTAAAACCATATGTTTTAGGTCTTTAAAGATTATTTCAGTCCAAATGTTTGTTCTTTGAGAATTTGTAACAAAATACTTTGTTTTTATTTCTACAGAATTGTTCCCGATGTGAGAAAAACGAGACCACGTCGGGTGGAAGTCATTTGTAAGGAGCCGCTGGAGATGAAGAGGACCTGATGGACTTTAGGTTTCCTCCTGATCTCAGTCCATGCTCAGTGCATGTGCAGGGGTTAGGTTCTCCTGGGCTGCCATGGCTTCAGGAGGTCTGTGTCTTACTATTGGATATGTCGCTGTTTGAAATGTACTTAATCGACTGAAAATACAGAAACAGTGGAGTCACTGTCGTCATTGATCCTGCAGTAGTTTGTGTTTTTGTTTCCACCCTTTTTGTCATTAACGGGAATACATTGTTGCTATGTTTTGTTTGAGAAAGTCATTTTGTTTCAGGGAAATACAGGAGTCCAGCAGCAGCAGAAACACAAACAAACAAACAAATAAATATATGTAAAAGTAGCTAACAATAGTGAATAGAAGGAGGACTCAAGATGATAGAACAGCATCTCACCCAATCACAACACCCCACTGCTCTGCTCCAATCACAACACCTCACTGCTCTGCTCCAATCACAACACCTCACTGCTCTGCTCCAATCACAACACCTCACTGCTCTGCTCCAATCACAACACCTCACTGCTCTGCTCCAATCACAACACCCCACTGCTCTGCTCCAATCACAACACCTCACTGCTCTGCTCCAATCACAACACCCCACTGCTCTGCTCCAATCACAACACCCCACTGCTCTGCTCCAATCACAACACCTCACTGCTCTGCTCCAATCACAACACCTCACTGCTCTGCTCCAATCACAACACCTCACCGCTCTGCTCCAATCACAACACCTCACTGCTCTGCTCCAATCACAACACCCCACTGCTCTGCTCCAATCACAACACCTCACTGCTCTGCTCCAATCACAACACCTCACTGCTCTGCTCCAATCACAACACCTCACTGCTCTGCTCCAATCACAACACCTCACTGCTCTGCTCCAATCACAACACCTCACTGCTCTGCTCCAAAGCAACAAAACAAAACATATCACTCTTACATTAGTAATACTCAGCAGGTGGAGGAGGTGGAGGAGGTGGAGCTGCTTGGTCTGGACCATTTTTAGTCCAACACTTTTCATGGGTCCTGTTTCTAATTCAATCCAAACACCAAAAATAAAACAATGGTTCATGTGTTTACGACTCAAAGACTTTAATACGTTCTTCGCGTAAACACATCCCCTTTAGTTCTTCCATCCACAGAAGATAAATGTAAATGTCACTCCTTCAGAGAAGCACATATTTTACACACTGCTCAGCCCGAAGCATTAGTGCCATAAATCAAAAGTGTATTAGCATTTAATTGAAATAGAAGCAGGAATTCCTTCATCTGGAGCTTTTAACAGAATATTAAACCTCGGTGCGGCCGACGACAGAAGCGGGAGCTGTGTTTAATTGAAATGACAAAAAGCTGAGATGGTGACTTCGTGTGAACAGGTTTTACAGAAGCACAGAAGGTAAAGATGGACCCATACGGCACCAGAACATTTACAACACGCTTTCATAAGAAACATTCAACTCATAGATTTACCCTGTGGAAAGGTTAGCGTCATAACAGCGTGAAAACTGAAATCATGTTGAAAATCCGGTCTTAAAGGGAAGGTCCATAAATATCTCTGTACATCCCAGATCCTCACTGCCCTCAGACCCTCGGCATCTGAAAGAAATGACAACAACAAACCCAGAGAGAGAGGACGTGAGATACTGAGAGGGCTCCTATGGATGCAGGAGTCAGACTGTAGAACGAGGACTGAGGCTGTGGATCCAGGAGTCAGACTGTAGAACGAGGACTGAGGCTGTGGATGCAGGAGTCAGACTGTAGAACGAGGACTGAGGCTGTGGATCCAGGAGTCAGACTGTAGAACGAGGACTGAGGCTGTGGATGCAGGAGTCAGACTGTAGAACGAGGACTGAGGCTGTGGATGCAGGAGTCAGACTGTAGAACGAGGACTGAGGCTGTGGATCCAGGAGTCAGACTGTAGAACGAGGACTGAGGCTGTGGATGCAGGAGTCAGACTGTAGAACGAGGACTGAGGCTGTGGATCCAGGAGTCAGACTGTAGAACGAGGACTGAGGCTGTGGGGGGAGGACGGATGGGGGCGACCAGTTTACACAGGTATATGTAAAATGGATCAATCCTTAGATACTTTATTGATCCCCGTCGGAGAAATGCAGGTGTCCAGTAGCAGCAAAAGTGAAAAATAAAATGGATCATTCTAAAAATCTAACAATAGTAATAATCAGCAACAGCCTCAGGTCACAGCAGCAGAGGTGGAGTAGCCTCTGGGTGGAGCAGGAAAGGTCACAGCAGCAGAGGTGGAGTAGACTCTGGGTGGAGCAGGAAAGGTCACAGCAGCAGAGGTGGAGTAGGTGACACTACAGGGTCATATTCTCTTCAAAATGAATGACAATTGCAGTTATTCCTGACCAGAAACACAGGAAGCAGGAGACGGATGAAAAGTTACACCGTGCTCCACATGAACGATGAAATATGGTGTTTGCTTAATGTGCTTGAATATTGTTTTGAGCCGCTGTGTCTGGTCCCGCCGAGCTGCTGTAAATTACTTTGTTATGGCATAATAAACTGAGCCGGGACTTGATGGCCTCAGCGTGCCAATAATGACACAAATCACACGTCTCTCACACCTCCAGCCGCAGAAACGAGACGGCGCGAGAGCGGAGACACTGCAGGGGGCGGCGGAGGGGCTGCTGCAGGGGCTGCTGCAGGGGCTGCGGAGGGGCGGCGGAGGGGGCTGCTGCAGGGGCTGCGGAGGGGCGGCGGAGGGGCGGCGGAGGGGCTGCTGCAGGGGCTGCGGAGGGGCGGCGGAGGGGCGGCGGAGGGGCTGCTGCAGGGGCTGCGGAGGGGCGGCGGAGGGGCTGCGGAGGGGCTGCTGCAGGGGCGGCGGAGGGGCTGCTGCAGGGGCGGCGGAGGGGCTGCTGCAGGGGCGGCGGAGGGGCTGCTGCAGAGGCTGCGGAGGGGCTGCTGCAGGGGCGGCGGAGGGGCTGCTGCAGGGGCGGCGGAGGGGCTGCTGCAGAGGCTGCGGAGGGGCTGCTGCAGGGGCGGCGGAGGGGCGGCGGAGGGGCTGCTGCAGGGGCTGCGGAGGGGCTGCTGCAGGGGCTGCGGAGGGGCTGCTGCAGGGGCGGCGGAGGGGCTGCTGCAGGGGCGGCGGAGGGGCTGCTGCAGGGGCGGCGGAGGGGCTGCTGCAGGGGCTGCGGAGGGGCTGCTGCAGGGGCTGCGGAGGGGCGGCGGAGGGGCTGCTGCAGGGGCTGCGGAGGGGCGGCGGAGGGGCTGCTGCAGGGGCTGCGGAGGGGCGGCGGAGGGGCTGCGGAGGGGCTGCTGCAGGGGCTGCGGAGGGGCTGCTGCAGGGGCTGCGGAGGGGCTGCGGAGGGGCGGCGGAGGGGCTGCTGCAGGGGCTGCGGAGGGGCGGCGGAGGGGCTGCGGAGGGGCTGCTGCAGGGGCTGCTGCAGGGGCTGCGGAGGGGCTGCGGAGGGGCGGCGGAGGGGCTGCTGCAGGGGCTGCGGAGGGGCGGCGGAGGGGCTGCGGAGGGGCTGCTGCAGGGGCTGCGGAGGGGCGGCGGAGGGGCTGCTGCAGGGGCGGCGGAGGGGCTGCTGCAGGGGCGGCGGAGGGGCTGCTGCAGGGGCTGCGGAGGGGCTGCTGCAGGGGCGGCGGAGGGGCTGCTGCAGGGGGCGGCGGAGGGGCTGCTGCAGGGGGCGGCGGAGGGGCTGCTGCAGGGGCGGCGGAGGGGCTGCTGCAGGGGGCGGCGGAGGGGCTGCTGCAGGGGGCGGCGGAGGGGACGTTAATGGGAACCAAGACAGAGGGAAGAAGCAGCGGGAAATGTCAGGGTCGGTTCTGATAAAAGTTGACACTTTGAGCCGCTGACCTGAGGAAGAACCCTTTTAATGCGGTCTCAGAGGGTCTCAGAGGGTCTCGGCCTCACCACAGCCTCTGCTGCGAATGGAGGGCAGCACCATCACATTTAACAGGAGAAAAGATGAGAAAACTGGACATACACAGAAAAATACTGGGTTGTTAGACATGCACACTGTAACAAGTGGTAAAAGAGGGGGTAATTGTCAAGGGTTGTGTGTTGGACCCCAAAGCAGAGACAGAGACTGAGCACGATTTAAGGAAAGGCTTTACTTACAAAAAGTAAATAACAAAAGCACAGGCAGGCAGTGGAGACAGGTCAGGAAGAGGAGGACCTGAACTCAGGACAAAAAACCCATAAGCAAAAATAACACAACAGCACAAACTCTGCTGCTGGATACTGACTCCTGACAGAGAATAATCTGTCAGAGAAGTGAGGTCTGCACCAGAGCTTTGAGCAGAGCTGATGAGGAACAGGTGAGCCACGCCCCCAGCCACGCCCCCAGTCACACCCCCAGCCACACCCCCAGCCACGCCCCCAGCAGCCACACCCCAGCCACACCCCAGCCACGTCCCCAGTCACACACATGCCCTGAAAAAAACAGGGAGGGGGAGCAAACCCAAACCCAGGTAATAACAGATAAAAATTGTTTTTTATCTTCATTTGAATACGTTCTAAAACCAAGATTCTCCAACGGAACAGAGCCATTTAGTCTTTCCTCATTCCAAGGGAGACATTTCCTGTATTTTATCAAAACACGATCATTTTGCTTTGTTCCGTTTGGAAGTCAAAATGTGCTAAAAAAAAAGATGAACATTTTGCCACTTTTGAAGAGCAGAACAGTCTGAGGACAGAGGTCTGAGGACAGAGGTCTGAGGTCTGAGGACAGAGGTCTGAGGACAGAGGTCTGAGGACAGAGGTCTGAGGTCTGAGGACAGTGGTCTGAGGTCTGAGGACAGAGGTCTGAGGACAGAGGTCTGAGGACAGAGGTCTGAGGACAGAGGTCTGAGGACAGAGGTCTGAGGACAGTGGTCTGAGGACAGAGGTCTGAGGACAGTGGTCTGAGGACAGAGGTCTGAGGTCTGAGGACAGAGGTCTGAGGACAGAGGTCTGAGGTCTGAGGACAGAGGTCTGAGGACAGAGGTCTGAGGACAGTGGTCTGAGGACAGAGGTCTGAGGACAGAGGTCTGAGGTCTGAGGACAGAGGTCTGAGGACAGAGGTCTGAGGTCTGAGGACAGAGGTCTGAGGACAGAGGACAGAGGTCTGAGGACAGTGGTCTGAGGACAGAGGTCTGAGGTCTGAGGACAGAGGTCTGAGGACAGAGGTCTGAGGTCTGAGGACAGAGGTCTGAGGACAGAGGTCTGAGGTCTGAGGTCTGAGGTCTGAGGACAGAGGTCTGAGGACAGAGGTCTGAGGACAGAGGTCTGAGGTCTGAGGACAGTGGTCTGAGGACAGAGGTCTGAGGACAGAGGTCTGAGGACAGAGGTCTGAGGTCTGAGGACAGAGGTCTGAGGACAGAGGTCTGAGGACAGTGGTCTGAGGACAGTGGTCTGAGGACAGAGGTCTGAGGACAGAGGTCTGAGGACAGAGGTCTGAGGACAGAGGTCTGAGGTCTGAGGACAGAGGTCTGAGGTCTGAGGACAGAGGTCTAAGGACAGAGGTCTGAGGTCTGAGGACAGAGGTCTGAGGTCTGAGGTCTGAGGTCTGAGGACAGAGGTCTGAGGACAGAGGTCTGAGGTCTGAGGACAGAGGTCTGAGGTCTGAGGACAGAGGTCTAAGGACAGAGGTCTGAGGTCTGAGGACAGAGGTCTGAGGTCTGAGGACAGAGGTCTGAGGACAGAGGTCTGAGGACAGAGGTCTGAGGTCTGAGGACAGTGGTCTGAGGACAGAGGTCTGAGGACAGAGGTCTGAGGACAGAGGTCTGAGGTCTGAGGACAGAGGTCTGAGGTCTGAGGACAGAGGTCTGAGGTCTGAGGACAGAGGTCTGAGGTCTGAGGACAGAGGTCTGAGGTCTGAGGACAGTGGTCTGAGGACAGTGGTCTGAGGACAGAGGTCTGAGGTCTGAGGTCTGAGGTCTGAGGTCTGAGGACAGTGGTCTGAGGACAGAGGTCTGAGGTCTGAGGACAGAGGTCTGAGGACAGAGGTCTGAGGACAGAGGTCTGAGGTCTGAGGACAGAGGTCTGACGTCTGAGGACAGTGGTCTGAGGACAGAGGTCTGAGGTCTGAGGACAGAGGTCTGAGGACAGAGGTCTGAGGACAGAGGTCTGAGGACAGAGGTCTGAGGTCTGAGGTCTGAGGTCTGAGGACAGAGGTCTGAGGACAGAGGTCTGAGGACAGAGGTCTGAGGTCTGAGGACAGAGGTCTGAGGTCTGAGGACAGTGGTCTGAGGACAGAGGTCTGAGGACAGAGGTCTGAGGACAGTGGTCTGAGGACAGAGGTCTGAGGACAGAGGTCTGAGGTCTGAGGACAGAGGTCTGAGGACAGAGGTTTGAGGTCTGAGGACAGAGGTCTGAGGACAGAGGTCTGAGGACAGAGGTCTGAGGTCTGAGGTCTGAGGTCTGAGGACAGAGGTCTGAGGTCTGAGGACAGAGGTCTGAGGACAGAGGTCTGAGGTCTGAGGACAGAGGTCTGAGGACAGAGGTCTGAGGACAGAGGTCTGAGGACAGAGGTCTGAGGTCTGAGGACAGAGGTCTGAGGTCTGAGGTCTGAGGACAGAGGTCTGAGGACAGTGGTCTGAGGACAGAGGTCTGAGGACAGAGGTCTGAGGTCTCTCTCCTGGACTCTCTCCTGGTCTCTCTCCTGGACTCTCTCCTGGTCTCTCTCCTGGACTCTCTCCTGGTCTCTACTGAACTTTCTCCTGGTCTCTCTCCTGGTCTCTCTCCTGGTCTCTACTGAACTCTCTCCTGGTCTCTCTCCTGGTCTCTCTGCTGGACTCTCTCCTGGTCTCTCTCCTGGTCTCTCTGCTGGTCTCCCTCCTGGTCTCTCTCCTGGACTCTCTCCTGGTCTCTGCTGGTCTCTCTCCTGGTCTCTCTCCTGGACTCTCTCCTGGTCTCTACTGAACTCTCTCCTGGTCTCTCTCCTGGTCTCTCTGCTGGACTCTCTCCTGGTCTCTCTCCTGGACTCTCTCCTGGTCTCTCTCCTAGACTCTCTCCTGGTCTCTGCTGGTCTCTCTCCTGGTCTCTCTGCTGGACTCTCTCCTGGACTCTCTCCTGGTCTCTCTCCTGGTCTCTCTCCTGGTCTCTCTGCTGGACTCTCTCCTGGACTCTCTCCTGGTCTCTCTCCTGGTCTCTCTGCTGGACTCTCTCCTGGACTCTCTCCTGGACTCTCTCCTGGTCTCTCTCCTGGTCTCTCTCCTGGTCTCTCTGCTGAACACTCGTTTGCACCGAGAGCCAAAGACATTTCCTTGTTTGTGACTTCCTGTTTCTCACATGCAATAAAAGGATTCTTGTTCTGGTTCTGGTTCTGGTTCTGATTCTGATGAGATGTGCCTAAATGTCCTTAGACCCTCCTGCATCTGCAAAGAGTGTCTGAAAAAAACAAAAGAACAGTGAGAAATAAAATGGGATAAATATGAATTTATTTAGAAATCTCAGAGAGGCTTGTACTGAGGGATCTGCTTCTACAGACGGACTATTGCTCCAGGACCAGAGTGAGAACCAGGACTCAGACTGTGGGTGAGAACCAGGACTCAGGCTGTGGGTGAGAACCAGGACTCAGACTGTGAGTGAGAACCAGGACTCAGGCTGTGGGTGAGAACCAGGACTCAGGCTGTGGGTGAGAACCAGGACTCAGACTGTGAGTGAGAACCAGGACTCAGACTGTGGGTGAGAACCAGGACTCAGGCTGTGGGTGAGAACCAGGACTCAGACTGTGGGTGAGAACCAGGACTCAGGCTGTGGGTGAGAACCAGGACTCAGGCTGTGGGTGAGAACCAGGACTCAGGCTGTGGGTGAGAACCAGGACTCAGGCTGTGAGTGAGAACCAGGACTCAGACTGTGGGTGAGAACCAGGACTCAGACTGTGGGTGAGAACCAGGACTCAGGCTGTGGGTGAGAACCAGGACTCAGGCTGTGGGTGAGAACCAGGACTCAGGCTGTGGGTGAGAACCAGGACTCAGACTGTGGGTGAGAACCAGGACTCAGACTGTGAGTGAGAACCAGGACTCAGACTGTGAGTGAGAACCAGGACTCAGACTGTGAGTGAGAACCAGGACTCAGGCTGTGAGTGAGAACCAGGACTCAGGCTGTGAGTGAGAACCAGGACTCAGACTGTGGGTGAGAACCAGGACTCAGACTGTGAGTGAGAACCAGGACTCAGACTGTGAGTGAGAACCAGGACTCAGACTGTGAGTGAGAACCAGGACTCAGGCTGTGAGTGAGAACCAGGACTCAGGCTGTGAGTGAGAACCAGGACTCAGGCTGTGAGTGAGAACCAGGACTCAGGCTGTGAGTGAGAACCAGGACTCAGGCTGTGAGTGAGAACCAGGACTCAGACTGTGGGTGAGAACCAGGACTCAGGCTGTGAGTGAGAACCAGGACTCAGACTGTGAGTGAGAACCAGGACTCAGACTGTGGGTGAGAACCAGGACTCAGGCTGTGGGTGAGAACCAGGACTCAGGCTGTGGGTGAGAACCAGGACTCAGGCTGTGAGTGAGAACCAGGACTCAGGCTGTGAGTGAGAACCAGGACTCAGACTGTGGGTGAGAACCAGGACTCAGACTGTGGGTGAGAACCAGGACTCAGGCTGTGGGTGAGAACCAGGACTCAGACTGTGGGTGAGAACCAGGACTCAGACTGTGAGTGAGAACCAGGACTCAGACTGTGGGTGAGAACCAGGACTCAGGCTGGGTGAGAACCAGGACTCAGGCTGTGGGTGAGAACCAGGACTCAGGCTGTGAGTGAGAACCAGGACTCAGGCTGTGAGTGAGAACCAGGACTCAGACTGTGGGTGAGAACCAGGACTCAGGCTGTGGGTGAGAACCAGGACTCAGGCTGTGGGTGAGAACCAGGACTCAGGCTGTGAGTGAGAACCAGGACTCAGGCTGTGAGTGAGAACCAGGACTCAGACTGTGAGTGAGAACCAGGACTCAGGCTGTGAGTGAGAACCAGGACTCAGACTGTGAGTGAGAACCAGGACTCAGGCTGTGAGTGAGAACCAGGACTCAGACTGTGAGTGAGAACCAGGACTCAGACTGTGAGTGAGAACCAGGACTCAGACTGTGAGTGAGAACCAGGACTCAGGCTGTGAGTGAGAACCAGGACTCAGACAAACACAGACTAAGGTCAACTCTAGAGGCTCTTCACACTGAGGTTAGAAGTCTGGACACCCTGATGCTGATGCAGGAGTAGGAGGCCCTCTCTGTCCTCTCTCACCTCTCTCTCTCCTGCCTCCTCTCTCTCCTCTGCCTCCTCTCTCCTGCCTCCTCTCTCTCCTGCCTCCTCTCTCTCCTGCCTCCTCTCTCCTGCCTCCTCTCTCTCCTGCCTCCTCTCTCCTGCCTCCTCTCTCTCCTGCCTCCTCTCTCTCCTGCCTCCTCTCTCCTGCCTCCTCTCTCTCCTGCCTCCTCTCTCTCCTGCCTCCTCTCTCCTGCCTCCTCTCTCTCCTCTGCCTCCTCTCTCTCCTCTGCCTCCTCTCTCTCCTGCCTCCTCTCTCTGTCTCTCTCCTCTGCCTCCTCTCTCTGTCTCTCTCTCCTCTGCCTCCTCTCTCCTGCCTCCTCTCTCTCCTGCCTCCTCTCTCTGTCTCTCTCTCCTCTGCCTCCTCTCTCTGTCTCTCTCTCCTCTGCCTCCTCTCTCTCCTCTGCCTCCTCTCTCTCCTGCCTCCTCTCTCTCCTGCCTCCTCTCTCTGTGTCTCTCTCCTCTGCCTCCTCTCTCTGTCTCTTTCTCCTCTGCCTCCTCTCTCTCCTGCCTCCTCTCTCTCCTGCCTCCTCTCTCTCCTGCCTCCTCTCTCCTGCCTCCTCTCTCTCCTGCCTCCTCTCTCTCCTCTGCCTCCTCTCTCCTCTGCCTCCTCTCTCCTGCCTCCTCTCTCTCCTCTGCCTCCTCTCTCCTCTGCCTCCTCTCTCCTCTGCCTCCTCTCTCTCCTGCCTCCTCTCTCTCGTGCCTCCTCTCATTTTAATTTTATTTTAATATTCCCTTCTGCCGGGGTCCAAGCGCCAATTCATAACCACATTTACAGCACACAGAAAGTCTTATGTAGCGACAGATTACTTTCACCAGAGCAATGGGCAGCTGCAGCAGTACTCTAGTATTTCCTGTCATTGTAATAGAGTAATGTGGATGATGACAGTGTAGTATATGTGGTAGTATATTAGTATTACTCTGTAGTATATTAGTATTACGCTATAGGATATTAGTATTACTCTGAAGTATATTAGTATTACTCTGAAGTATATTAGTATTACTCTGTAGTATATTAGTATTACTCTGTAGTATATTAGTATTACGCTGTAGGATATTAGTATTACTCTGAAGTATATTAGTATTACTCTGTAGTATATTAGTATTACTCTGTAGTATATTAGTATTACGCTGTAGGATATTAGTATTACTCTGTAGTATATTAGTATTACTCTGTAGTATATTAGTA